GAGCTTTTCTAACTTCTTTAAAAGAGTGGATTCTATAAGATTTAAGATATCCCACGTTTTACACAATCAGTCAATTATATAGATACTTGCATAGTTACCTATTTTTGGTTTGTAGAGAGAGCAATTGACAAGATACAGGATCTAAATGCAGTCATAACTGGGCATTACAAATAAAGAAAGGTTTCCATACAAGTCCATGCTTACATTCAGTTCTTAGAGGAACAAACCTTACGACTGAAACTCAGTTATGTAACTTTCCAGATAGCACTTACAATAGAAATAATAATAAATGATCACCAATTTTGAAGGCAGTTTTCTTGACAATTCAATACCACAAAARAAAAAAAAAAAAAAAAAACACAGCAACTAAGCCGCTACCAGGCTTCAAATAAAACTTAAAGACTAAAACTCTGAAGAAGAATTAAAGCCAGGTTTGCCTACTTTAACTTCACTTTTTTTTTTTTTTTCTCTCAAATCTAGCAAACTGAAACATATGCTTTGCTTGACAGCTTTCAAATTAAAACTCATATCTTCACAGGATCAGGCAGCATGGGGTCCCTAAGACAGGATTTATGCAACAATAAACAAACAAACAAAAAAAAAAATGGATTCAGAATGCTCCAGGCTTTTTCCAGATGCTCCCAGTTAGCTGCAGCTCCAAATCAAGCCTTACATCCGTTTACCATCTCCGCTTCTGTTCCTAAGGGAATCATAAAGCTTAAGCCTTTTGGGGCATGACTGTTACCCTCAACAGGAGCTGACTATTTGAGTGACTGGTCATTCCTCATTGACTTGTGGGAGGCCTTTGTTTTAGTACTTTTAGCACAGATAAATAATTATTCAAAGAAAACTGCCTTCCTGTTATTGATCTCCTCTTCTTATAAAAGTTTATCTATTCATAGATTTCACAGAATAATCATTTTAGCTCTTAAAAGTCTTTATGAACCTTTTCAAAAAAAGTAAACAATTGTTTCCTATGATATATTTGTTGTAATAAATTGCAAATGTTGTATGACTTTTTTTTAATTAAAAATTAAAATCAGCTTAAGAATTACTATATGTTGCACAGAAGAAAAAATACCATGATCTCATACAGCAAAGCTATGGTGATACCCTGACAGTATGTCACACAACGAGAAAAATAAATGCATTACAGAGAAAAATCTAGTCTGTTTAGTGAACGACTTGTCCAAAATACTGAAGTGAGCCATCAATCAGTTTTATCAAACTGTCTGCTCCCATTTTATAAATCTCATCCGGTGACTGGGACACTCAGGCCTGGCACCTGAAGAGTCATCTCAGTGTTGATGAATTACACTGCATGCTCCTCTCAGGACAAGCATAACACATTTGCACTACTTAATCACTGTCACCACTTTGAGATAGTCTTGTAAGAAGCTTCACTTGCAGGACATCCTCAAATACTTCCATGTTTTCTTGCAAATGAGTCTACTGCACCATAGTGAGGAAGGCTTGACCCGATTTCAACATTTTTTCTCCTGCTACTTCAAGTGAAAATTCTCTGAAAAACATAGTACCACACATCTTCAAGCCCACTGCATCTGAACTGTGACATTTGGAAATAAATTAAGTATTCTGATTCTCACAAACTCTTTTGTATTTCTGCTGGCAAAATGATTCTTTTTTTCAGGGTCTTTGCCCTCTGTCTTGACATTTGTAACAGATTTTTCTTAGTTCCTTTTCTATTTGCAATAATTACTTCCCTTATTATTCACTTGTCAATTTTACAACTTCTAAATTCTTTTAAAGTTTATTTCCTCCCTTTTGTCTCAGTTCAAACACAGCCCCTTTCTTATCAAGAAAGCAATGCTCATACAATAAACAATTTTGATTGGAAACAGGTTTGGTCAAACCAGCAATTCCATATTGGTATTTATTCATTATCTTACTATTTTCTATAAACTAACAGGTTGCTTATATGTTCCTTCATTTTTCAAGCCCCCAGTGTAGTTAACCTGATCCATGGAGGGGTCTGAGTTTGTGACTTAACCAGGTTAATTTAGTCCTGAATTTCCTAACTTTCCTTCAAAATATGGTAATTTGTATTTATGCCTTTAATACTTGGGGGTGGTAGGGCAAAGCACCAGTTGTCCTACATATTTCACTATTGTCACAGGTAGTACCCAGTGACACTAGGTGACATAGATGACACTGAATTGCAGACTTTTCAGAAGCGGCATTTTAATATAAAATTTTAGTAGTTGTATTTTTTCAAGGGTGTTAGGGACTGGGCAGAAGAGTTGAAATTAACTATAAATGAATAAACACACTTATGGAAAATGCAGCATTACTTTGAAGTATCTCAAGTTTCAGTTTACAAAGCAAACTTCCCTTACCTTACTTTCAATCCCAAGACAGAAAAAAAAAAACATGAAATTAAGAAAATTTTAACCCTTTGCTGCACATTTTTCATGTGTGTGTGTGCGCATCACAGGAAATAAATATTAGGCTGCATGAGACAGGAGACAGCAGAAAGGAGCTTGAACAGCATATTAAAAGAAAACAAACTCATATTAAATAAGGGACTCCATAAAAACAATGACACCTCTTGACTTTCTTTCAAGGGCTCACATATAACCTTACCCTATCTAACAGCTCGCCATGGTGGTCTCCCTTTCCCTTCTTCATTCCCTCTTCTCTGTCAGTTCTAGCTTGCAATTTATTCTTCACCAAATGATTTTAATTCTTTTTTTCCACCATGATGTTTTCTGCAGAAAGGTCCAACAAATAACAAAGAGTTAGCAGCAATGGGAAAGAAAATACGGAATGGAACACACCTTGCATTTGATAGTAATAAAACATTGTACTAGTGCAAGGTGGTGGTACAGAACTTTTAACAGGTCAGGACAAAGGAGTAAGAAAAATGAGAAGGAATAGAGGTGAAAATTCAGAGTAGAACAACAGAATCCACCTCCATCTCACACTCCATTCTGTCATCTATATCAGTAAAACACATTTCAAATGCAAGACTCTGAAGAAGATTTACAGAAGGGCTGATCTCATAGATTTCAGTGAGAATTGTAATGGCAGAAGTCCCAATGAAGAGCCATCTCTCCTTGTTCAAAGCAAAATCAGTACAGGGTTACCTCTGAAGTATTATACTCAATGTTTCTCAAATTCACTTAAAAAAATGAAAAAAAAAAAAAAGGAAAGGGAAGGATTTAAAAGGTACCATGACATGTTCTTAGATCTAACTATCTCAGATTGCTGGTAACTTTACAGATGCATAGAATAGGAGACTTTTGAAGTTCAATACTCATGTCTTTTTACCCGTATTGTCTTACTGGCCTTACTACAACCTCTGTACAATCAATACAATCAAGTTCTAAAGAGCTTGTTCAAAGTTTCAGTGGAGAGGCATCTTTTCTCTGTGAAACGCATACTGGCCCAAACACCTAGAAAAACACTCCCAAAATTTCTGATAAAACAAGTCACTATTACTGGTTCATACGAACTGAACTCATCATGATTTCCTAATCATAAATAAGGGACCACAGGTTTTATCACTTCTTGAAACACAAGCTAAAAGAACTGCTGGAACCTGAAATAGAAGTTACACAGTAGCATTTCTGCAGTCTATCTTCTTTGGGATATTATTTCATTGCTTGGGACTTCCTCACAATCAGAATGTTGCCTTCCCCTCTCTTGGTTGGATTTCAAATTTTGTTAGCTTATGTTTACTGCTATATTTTACTCTACCTATGCTGCAAGTTACAAGCAAGCAAAACCAGACCATCTACTCATCATTTCCACCCCACTCTGATCTTTGTAGCTGCCTTTGGTTTGCTTGTTTGTTTTCTCTTAAAATAATCTTCCTTTCCATCTAGCATATCAGGCAATGACTTCCTGAGTAATAAAACAACGTTTAGCTTGCAGAGCTACTCCATGGACGTACAATCCCTTGCAACTTCTACACAAAGCTGCACAGAACACAGCTTGCCTTCCTTAGAAGTCTTTTGTGCACCTTTGGGAAAAGTGCACCCAAAAGTCAAAAGATGAAACCCACAAGCTGAAAACAAGAAACAGAAAACCTGGAATTGTTAGTGTCATTTTAACCCACAGGAAATCCACACAGCTGCTGAAAGTCCTCCAACCAGACACTTGTCTGAACAGACCCACTTTTAATTAAATGTCCATGTTTCATGAAGCTGCACAGCAAGACAGACCTGAGAACTGCTCTGAAGAGAAACTCAACCCACAAGAAATTCCTTTTAGGAAGGGCACTAACTTAAGACCAATAGCCTCAGACCTTCTACTTCTTTAGCCTTTAAGAACATCATTCTCAGAATGTATTCACAGCCTGAAGATGCTCTAGTTGGTCATAAACATACAGCACAGCAAGCAAGTAAACTGCCCTGTGCAGGGAAGAACATGCTATTGTTCACTGTATTTTAACATGTGCACTAGAAAACCTCCAAGAATGAAGAGAAGCTGCCACTTCATACATTATCTGCAGCTATGCATCATAAGACCTGCACCAAGAAAACCTAGAAACGACCTCTCCTTGGAAATTCAATGAACATACCCAGATGCATCTTCCTAGTAGTACAGCCAGAAGCGTTCTGAATTTAAGGAGAGTCAATATGGTGCCCATCTGCTGCCTACCGACTACAAACTGACAGCAAGCCCTGTACTTCCTCAGTGGCAGAAATTAGTATTTCATTACATTAAAGCAACAGTCCAGGCAGAATCTGAGTGTTGCACCTAACCAGCCCTTCCTTGGCACCATCAGCAGCTGCTCTTTTCCTTGCACGTGGCAGCCTTTCTCCTGCCTAAGCCAGGCGACAGGCTCCCCACCCCTGCCGACAGCAGCGAGGCTGGGCAAGGCGCGCTCTGGCGGCCTCCGAGCCCGGCGGACAATCCCACGGGGAGGCAGCGGGCGCTCGGGCGGCTCCGCGAGCGCAGCCGCGCAGGGAGAACGGAGGCGGAGGCAGCCAGGCCCGCGCCGCGGCCCACCCGGGCTCCCCCGCCGCCCCTACCTGCGCGGCTCTCGTGCTTGGGCACCCGGTAGTACTTGTTGCCGAACTGGTCGGTACCCACGAACTCCTTGGTGGGCCCCAGGAGCCGCAGGCGCAGGGCGCGCAGCACCTGCCAGGCCCGGCTCATGGCGGGGCGCGCAGAAGCCGCAACACCGCCGCGGGCGGACACGCACAGCTGTTAACGGTTAGCGGCTGGCGGTTAACGGTTAAAGGCCCCACGCGCCGCCGCGCCCCGCCCCTGGCACGTCACGTGACACCGCGCGCCCCGCCCCCGGAAGTTTGGCTTCCGGCACGGTCACTTCCTGCCGCGCTAATAACACTGCTCGTGGTTGGCGGGGAGTGGCGCTCCTGCTGCCAATGGGCGCCTTGCTCCGGTCGCTAGGTGCGCCGCCGCTCCCAAGATGGCGGAGGCGGGGTGGCGGCGGCCATGCTGGGGTTCCTCGCGGCGCGGCAGGCCGGCCTGGAGGAGCCCGCGCGGCTGCGCCGGGCGGAGGCCACGCGCAGGTAGCGGCCGCGGCGCGGGCGGCCCCGGCCTGGCGGCCCCGGCCTGGCGGCACCGGCGGGCGCCGTCTCGGGCGCCGCCGGTCGCTTGTCACGCCCGGAGGGTGATTTCGCCCTCACAGACGAACAGAAAACCCCACGTTCGCCTCAGAAGTTTTTCCAATAGCCCTTCGCGTGGGGCTTGTCCTCGGGGCGTTTGGGCCGCTGGGAGGGCCTGGCTGGAGGGAGCAGGGGCCGCGCGCCGGCGGGGCAGCGGGGAGGCCCGGGCGCCGGTTTAAGTGCTTAGTATCTATTCCACGCCACCCCGCTCCCCCCCCCCGCAAAGAAGAGATAACATTTTCATTTTAGTTGAAACAGTAATGATTTTCTTGCTAGGCAGTAAAATTTTTGCAAAAAAAAAAAAAAAAAAAGATTTTACAAGTTGGGAATAATAAACTTTGCTTGTAAAACTTTATACACAGGTAACAAAGCATTAAATGAAGATGACTGTTTATCAGAAATACTTCAGCATGTGAAGTATTTTTTTAAAATTTTAAATTTTGGCGGGGCCAAAATTTTTAAATTTAAATTAAAAAAAATTATTTTTTAAATATTTTTAAAAGTACTCTTTTAAAAATATATTTTCTGTACTATTAAGCAAAAAAACCACATTTGGTTCTTAAAAGGGAAGATTATAAAACTAGACCAGTTTGTCCACTAGGTGTCCATAGTCTCAAGCAGGAGTGATAACTTCAATGTTAATGACTATCATGAATACTTTTTTTTTTATTGTATTCTTGTCTTTGGTTTTCACACATTGACCTCAAGTACAGTTTTGATATTCCTTTCAGTCCATTTTACTTTTTTTTAGTTTCTTGTTTTTTCCTTAGGCAACAAATGTATTTTTTCTATAAGTTTCCCGGTTTTTATTTTCAGTTTTGTGTCATGTCTGCAACTCTAGCATTTACAAAAAAAAAAATGCAATGGATAAATAGACTGAGGAAAGGTTAAATTATAGTTTGTCCTGTTCTCAGCTGCACAGGTAACATTTTACAGCATAGTTATGCTTGTTTGTATTTTTTTAAGGGTTCTGAGTCTGGATTTAAATAAAGACAGGGATGTGGAAAGAATACATGGGTGTGGTATCAACTCCCTTGATATTGAACCTGTTGAAGGAAGATAGTAAGTATAAGCCTTACTTTGGTAAGCACATTTTATGGATACTTCACTGTGTTTTGGTATTACAGAGTTATTTTCCTGTTAAGTATATGACCTTTAATTATTTTGAGCAGATCGAGATTGGAAGTGTTGTAACTTGTGTACTTGGTTTACACTTTCAGTATGTTGTCAGGAGGATCGGATGGTGTTATTGTACTTTATGACCTTGCAAACTTCAGCAGAAAGCCTTGCTACACATGTAAAGCAGTTTGCTCTGTAGGAAGGTAAGTACTTGAAACAACAACATTCTGTCAGATGTTTGCAGTGGTATTTGTTGAATGACTTGCATGAAATTAGTAGCTAAATGCATGTTTTTCTTTGTTATAAGAAAAAACAAAATCCTATACATAGTACCAGAAATCTTTGAAGAAGGCTGGCATTATGTATTTTGGTACATAGAGCAAAACAAGAAACTTTGTTGAGGGCTCATTTGGTTTATTAAATCATAGGAGCAAAGTGCTTTCTTTCTTTCTTTTATTATTGTCTCATCTAACAGTTATACTTTATGATACTGTGATAATTTGCTGCTGTTGTTTAAACAGCTCTTTTTCTTTTAGTTCAAAAAGTTAAAATGATAGATATTAGTTGTGCTCATTAGGAAAGTAAAGCAGAGAAGTTCGTGTTACTGCATCATAGAGGAGTTAAGTTTGGAAGTAGGCTCTGGAGATCATCTGGTCCAGACTGCCTGCACAAGCAGGGTCAGCTAGAAGTGGTTGCTGAAAAGCATGCCCAGGCAGGTTTTGGATATCTCTAAGGAAGGACACTCCACAGCCTCTCTCGTGTCCCAGTGCTCAGCCTTCTTCACAGTAAAACATTTTCTCATTTTCAGATGAAACTTCCTGTGTTTCACATGGTGGCCCATACCTCATCTCCTGTCACTGGACACTGCTCAGAGAAGCCAGTCTCGTCCTCTTTACACCCTTTGCTTTGTAGATCTTTACAGCTTTTGCTTTGTTGGTGTAGACCCAAACAAAAAGCCATTATTTTGTGTTGAAATTTTCTGATTTTATGCCAGTAAAGATTAGAAAATAATTCTGTCACTATTATATACATATTCCTGGTTACATTTCAAATAAACATAATTATGTGTGTTTTGGAATAATTGTATGCCTAGGTAAGGGAAACGAAATGGGTATAACTGTTCGTCTGATTGGAAAAAACCTAACATAGATTCAGTTGCTGATTTTGCTCCTTCTCCCTCCCTTCACCTTCGCAAGTAGCTATTTTAATGACACTAGATGTTATCGATGCATAAGTAATTGAAGTAGAGCTTAAGAACGTGTTTGAGTGAAGACAGATGTGTCACAGATAAAAACGGATTTTTTTTTTTTTGATGATGATCAGGTGCTACCACACAGTTTGTATAATCTGTGTGAGACTCAAAGCCTTTATAGATCTATCAGGCTGTCTTGCAAGCAGTAAAAATTGGCCCATTATAGGCTCTCAGTCTTCTAGCAAGACTTGTTTATTGTTGTGTTTTAGATAGCACGGTTATCTAGCAGGTTAGGATTTTATCTGAGGCTTGTAATAAGATACATCCTGCATTTTAAAAGGTTAGTAGCCATGTTTTCCCCTTATTTTTTCCTAGTCTTGAAAGTACTTGAGGTCTAAGAGCTTCATGGCTAAGATTGACCAGAGCAGAAAAGATTTGTGTAACAGTAAAAGGCTTAAATTGTCCTCACCTTAAGAAAGAAAAAGGATAATAGAGCATGCATCAATGTTCCTACTCTACAAATGGGTAAGAACAGAATCTACTGCAAGTAAGATCCATTTGGTAAGTGAGTGCTAGAACTGGTCCAACAAAAAAAAAATGTAATTAAGAATAATAACTGTATGTTGCTGAATCCAGATCTAAATTTCTGAAACATACCCTACAAACTGATGAAATACATGCTGACACACAGCATTTAAAAAAAAAAAAAAAAAAAGCCAATCTCTACTAAAATGATGTCTTCAGTTAGTTCTCTGTTATGATAGGGGAAATACTTCATACTTGAAAATTCTGCCTAAGAGCCCCTCAGTATTGTGTTGATAGATAATTGACAGTTTCTTAAGTAGGTGTTAATTCAATTAGATACATATTTTACTTCCAATATTTGAATACGGGCTTAAATTGTGGTCATCGAATCTGTGTGGCACAATGTGTCATATGATTAAAACCCACTTCTTGTTGCTTCGAATGGATGGTTACTAAGCCAGGAGGTTAGTGGGTTTTTGCCTCAAATTATTTTTCCGAATATCCATTCTTAGTATTTTTTATATTTTTACTCTAGTTAATTCACCTTTAGATATTGGGATATTATGTAGAATTCATGACATCATAAATCAATGCTTAATTGTGAGGTAGAAGGACTCCCATGTGACAACCAGATTGCTATCTGTGAAGTATGTGATAATGGTATTCACACAAGCTTCTCTGTGCCCCAGGTTTGTAGGATAGGAGGCAAATCTCATCTACAAGTGAGAAGGGAAGTTGCCTTTTCAGAGGCCTTTTGAGGCAATTTCTGGTTAGATTTATACTGAACTTGCTGAGGTTTTAGTAGTTCAGAATGTTAGGGAGCTAGTTATTGATGGTACATTGTAATATGCCCAGTGTTTGTTATCTAGAATTAATTAATACCTTCAGAAATACAGCTACCCATTGGAGAATGTTTTGTTTTCTTTTCCTCATGGAAAGCTTGTGCTGCAACCCACAGCAAATGCAACCTTGGTCTTTTCACCAGTGCCACCTTAATGGCTTGTCCAGCAATTGCTTCCATGTGGATATCACCAAGGATGCCACTACCTCCATCTTGCAGAGAGGTTTAGTGTTCAGACACTAGGGGAGTTAAATGGCTTGATATATTTTCTTATAGATATCAGGTGTCATTTGAGATTTCCTAGAATAGCTAGAACTTTTAGTGGGCTTAGGACGTGTGATGTATTCCCTATGGGACACTCATATCTTGCAAGACTGACAGCTTCAGGAGGCCAATAGGAGGTACGAGGCACCTACTTGTGAACAACTAAATCAAGTCTCCAAAAGCTAGATTAGTCATCGTTAGCTAGCAAAACACACACACACACACGTACACACAAAAAACCCACTCAGTTATTGTGGCTGTGACTCCGTTTTAAAGTAGTCCTTAATGGTAGTTAAGACGGGTATTGTGAAAATAAGGACATCCTTAAAATTTTCCATGGGCTGTTAGGACCTTCCACACTAACATTCAACTGTCACACAGGAAACCTGACGTTTGAGAACAACAGAGCAGGTCCAGCTTTTAGATAAAATGTAGCTGATGCTTGTGTGAAACTTGGCCAATGTGCCTATTTCAAGCCTGTTAAGGTGAATGGCAGCAACCTTATTTTATAGAATAAATTCTTTATTATCTTTAGTAGAAAAGGCTGGAATATCCTGAGCAGTGGGATAGAATATTGTATACAGAGGAAATTAGGAGTAGCACAGGGTTGTGAGACAAGCTGAATGGCACATGGCCATGACAAAACCTGACTTTATCAAAGCTGGAGAAGTTTTTGAATTCATCGCTCAACCATCTGGTTATGGGACAGCTTAATAGTTTTGATGCAGTGCTGAACATGGTCCTGTATGACCATATCGCACCAGGATAATTAATTAGAAGGATTTAGATCTTTATAGTTGGTGTACAAATGTTTCTGCGGGAATCAGTTTTGATCAAGTCAGGCTTGACTTCCAGGTACTGAAGTGGGTGTTTTTTTTTTTTTTTTTTTTTTTTGAGCAGCAGTGAGCCAAGCAAAATCAGGTGATTTCTAGCACTGTGACAAGGTAACAGGTTTTTGCAGGGCATGGCCTAGAAATAACCAGTACAGGAGTTATAAGCTCAGTAGTTGCACAATAGTTCTTGCTTAGTACGGCCAGTTCTGGCTTCAGGCTGACTCTATTTGAAAAGATTCAGGTATCTTCTGTTCTTCCAGCAACCCAGGCAAACAGGAAAGTTTAACTGTGTTCTGGTGCTAGGTGTGTGTATATGAATTTTTATATACCATGTGCCATGTATATTTTTGTATATTTGTATATCACATATACAGACTACATGCACACCACCCTCTTCTATATACAGAGTCTCTCTCGCAATGATGTTTGCAACCATGATAACTTTGGTGTCCAGCACACTTACTTGAGACCACTGCAAAGATAAAAACTGAAGTGAGGAAATCCTGTGGACTCTTCACGAGGTCCAAGCAGAGCCAATTCAACTATTTTTTCCTGCTGCTTTTCCATCTGGGAACTGGATATCAAGACACTACCCTCTCAGACATGAGGGGCTTAACAGGGATGTGAGACTGGCTCTGCTGTTCTGGGCCTGCCTGAGGGAATCTTACCCTTCTTAAGCGGGCGGATTTGGCACTGGTGTGCCTACTTCCCAGCACAGTTGATATATTATTAATTAGATCTTATTCCTGTATACAGTGGAATTGAAAGTTACTGTATCAAGATGATATTTTTCTTATTTCACTTGTGAATTTGAAAATATTCCACTCATAGTAACTGTCTGGTGACTTTCATGTAACTGAATCAATCAAATAACCACTATAGCTGTAGTTATTAGCTAATGCTGAATCATAATGACCAAGATTCTTCAAATTATGCACATGATCATATTTTACAGTGGATCTCACCAGTGGCTCTTGAGTGTTAGGCCATAACTTGATTTTAAATATGAAAATTCAAGTTTTTCAAGAGATCAGTATCTTTTGTGCCTCACATTCTCTTAGCTTTAGATATGCTAAAGATACCATACTTGGTAAAGGTCAATGATCTGTGCCTATTTTAAATAGGGGTTCTTTAATTTGACTTGTTAAGGCACTAAAATCAGTTATTCCTCTTGAAAGCTTTAGTGCAATCTTTGAAAATGCTCAAACTACATTTTCCACTTGGATCACTCAGTTTCCTGACAATTAATGGCAGTTGACTTGAATCAACTGGAATCTTTTACTCATTTATAGGAGCCATCCTAATGTACATAAATACAGCGTAGAGACAGTGCAGTGGTATCCTCATGACACTGGCATGTTTACATCCAGCTCCTTTGATAAAACATTGAAAATATGGGATACAAATACTTTACAGGTAAGTAAATAGAAATTTTTATGATTCTGGATATCTCTGTATCATTCTGTCTGCATCTGCAGTTCACTTAGAGCTCAATAGGAGCAAACACATGGATGGCTGAGAAATAACTAGTTGTTAGAATGGCAGGTAGAGCAGCAAGGTGCTGTGGATGCAGCATTTTCACCTAAACACGTCTTTGTCTGGTTCTGTCAAGCTGAGCACCTAATGGTGGGAGACCTTGGAGCCCTCGGGGCTGCTCCCTCCTGCTTCAGTCACAAGCATGCAGCTTACATGCAGCATACATGCAGCTCATTCTGTGCTACCTCAGTTTTCCTATCTAGGACTAATCTGAAGCTGTAGTTCTTTTTTTTTTTTTTTTTTTCCAGAGTTGTTCAGTGCTTTACAAAAATATTTACTATTTAGTTTATTTGTATAGTAATAGGAGTATGCAACAAGAAAAGGGTACAGCAGGGCTGTTTAGTTTTAGTAAACAAGGCATAGATACTGCCTTTGAAAGGTTGGCCTTGGCATTTAGAAATAGAAAGGATGTAGAGAAATGGAGTATCACGTATTTTAAAACAGTGGTCATGTGTGTTTGGAAAAGACCTCCTGGGTCACTTAGGAGATGTGAAGCTGTATTTACTGTCACTAAACATTTTCTTAAGTGCACAGCTCTGTTTACAGGTGGCTCTACATGGCGTACGGAACACAGTGTTTGCATGAAGGCTGTTAACTGACCTGTACTCAGCCACCAGTGTATTTGAAGATATAAACAGCTTAGGTTTAAGTTATATTTCTATTCAGTAGTTTAGAAGGAGACAACAAAAAGAAGTGTACATGCAAGGCATTGTATTAGCTGTCAAAGGCAATACTGGCTTCTTGGTTGTTTTTAATTTTTAACATTGTCAAGGGAATTAATCATTGTATGTGTTTTTATGCTTTTTAATACTCCTTGGAGGAATGAAGGGTAGTTTATGATGTTTGTGAACTGACAAGGAACTTTTAAGTTTAGTCTGTGTTATTCTTTCTTATTTTTTTCCTGGACCTTTTTTCTCCATATTGTTTGGAACCTTCCTGCCTTCCCCCACCCCCCCTCCCCTCTTGCTTCCATTTTTTAACTTGTAATAAACTGTAGATGTCTTCCATTTATGCTTTTGATCAGCCAGCTTTCTTGAACTTTCTTCTGGGTCACCCTCCAGGTTTGACGTACTTGTCTAATGTTGCAGCCACACTTACTTTGGAATGTTTGCATGATTGGTTTACTAAGGAGGCACCTTATTAGTAGTATGTCAACAGTAATACTTGTGTTTTATTTGCAGTTGTAACTTGGAAAATGCTTAATAAAAAGTGTATACTTTTTTATAGCATATGTGTACTCTGATCAAACAAATCTTTTTGTTATCAGCCTGCAGATGTGTTTCATTTTGATGGAACTGTCTATAGCCATCATATGTCTCCAGTTGCTACCAAACATTGTTTAATAGCAGGTATGTATGTGTTTGTAAGGACTTTCCTGCCTATTTTGGGGTTATCATAAAAAGCATGTAATATTCAGAGGTTCTTCCCTCTATTGTCTTTTGCCTTACAGAGAGTGAAATTATATAAGAATTAGCTCATTATTAAAATTAAATATTTTCAATGGACTCATGATGTTTATAATGAGAAGCTTACATTTGCTCTTCTGGAGTAATGTGTCGTTCAATTCAGCCTCTGGGTTAAAGTTCCTACATATAACCAGTTTACTGTCAGTTATACAAGTTAGCATTTCCATGTTGTTAGATTTGAATCTAATTGTGTGTGTGTGTGTGTGTGTATATATATATATTTGTGGGGTGTTTTATGTATTACTTAGGTGCATGTTATTTAACTATGCAAGAGAGAATATTTTTAATTCTTGTGGCATAGGTACGTTTTGTTTGCCCTCAATTTAATATTTGTTTGTAATATCTTAGATTTACCTTCACTTAAAATGTAAACCTGTTGATAAAGCGTATCGCAGCAACCAGCTATGTAGTACTCAGATGAAATGAACTGGTATTGGCTAACATTTTTTTCTTCTATTTCTTTGTCATTGCCATAATCTTTTTGTTGTTCCTTCAACTACTGTGGTTTTTTGTTTTGTTTTGTCTTCATCTGTGTCTGTTTTTCTCGTTGCAGTTGGTACCAAAAGCCCCAAAGTACAGCTCTGTGACTTGAAGTCTGGATCCTGTTCTCACATTCTGCAGGGTACATTTTAGTCTGAAACAAATGTTAAACAATAACTACTTTGAGTAAATCAGACCCTATAGAGAAACATTGTATACAATGTGTTCTTTGTAAGCAATGTGACTTTGTAAGTAACATTTTGTACCAGTTGTGAAAGTTACATGGTGAAAAAAGCTTCTTCTGGATATGGTTATAGTGGTAATGGACTAGAGAATTCAAAAACAATTTTTTGAGAAGTTTGCGTGTTTTCATCATAAATTCCAATCGAATTGATGGTAGTTAATGCTTATTAAGTATTGGCAATGTTTTTGTGATTGTGTACATGTTAAAAATCAAATTTTAACAAAATATTCAAGTTTGAATAATTTTAAAAGGTTTCTGCATAAAGAGTAAGCTACTATGCATCATGGAAAGGTGATATCTCGTGCTTTGCTTTTATCAAATTTGGGAAGCTGCAAGTTTTTATTGAATTGCAATCACAGAATCCTTAGTGTTGGCAGGGACCCATGGTGACCATTTGGTCCCATTCCCATCCTATTAAATTCCCTTCTTCCACTCCAAGCAGGGCTAGCTATAACTGGTTGCCCAGGATCATGTCCAGTCAGGTTTGGAAAATCCCCAAGGATGGATGCCTCAATTTCTCCAGGCAAACTTCTCCTGTGCTTGACCATTCTTGCAGTAAATGAACCTTTTCATATGTCCAGATGAAGTTTCCCATGTTTCAGTTGGTGCCTGTTGCCTCTTGTCCTGTCACTGGGCACCACTCAGTTTATGGATTCATCTTCTTCATATCCTCCCATGATAATTTATATTTATGGATATTTATAAACACAGGAAAGATTTTCCTCCTAAAGTTCTGCAGACTGAAAACAACAGTTTCAGCCTCCTTTCAGATAATAGATGCTCTTACTGAAGATGTGGTCTCACCAGGGCAGAGTAGAGCAAGAGGATCACCTGCCTTGATCTACTGGCAGCTCTGCATAATGCAGCCCGCAGTACTGTTGGCCCTCTTTGCCCTGAGGGTTCTCTACTTTGTACCACTGATCACAACTCTCCGAACCTTCAAGTTGAGAGTTTTCAGCCCTCCTCACTGTCCACTCACCTAGCCTGGACTTGAGCAGTTTGTCTGTGGGAACAGACAATACCTTTGACACTCTCATAACCAAGTCCATCACTTCTTGCAATTAGTGAGAATTTGCCGTTAATGACATTTTGCTAATGTTTAATAAAGGTCTTAGAGTAGAGGTGAATGATAGATGTATGATGAAGTGAAAGAAAAAGTGACCAGATAAGTCTGCTTTGAAATAATATTTCAAATAATCAGACAAGAGCTCAATCTGTAGAAAAGACAACTAAAACTAGTAGAAGTTAAATATGTGTGATAGTAATGGTATCATGTCCAGCTCTCTGCAATCCCATTCAAGCAATAAGAAGGAAGGAAAACAGTCTCTAGTCCAAAATAAATTTATATTACAATGTAGGCAGTTCAGATTATTGTTTTGAATTGGTGGATCCTATGGATTTTTATATTGAATTTATTTGCATAAAGAAATGCGTATAAGTACTTTCATCAAAAATCATATAAGCTTTTTCATACCATTTGTAGGTCACAGGCAAGAAGTGCTGGCAGTGTCTTGGTCCCCACGTCATGAATATATTTTGGCAACAGCAAGGTAAATATGTTTCTGTACTATTATAAGCAATAATGTCTATGGGGGAAATTTTAAATATTTTTAATGATACGGGTTTGGAATAGAATCGACAGCACTAAGGTAGTGAGGAAAAATTGACTAGTGCAGCTGAAAGACATCTTCCAGCTATTATTGCAGTAATGTAACTTAAGAATACACAGGAAAAAAAATGTATAGCTAGAAGACCGCTTATCTAAGAAGCAATTTGATAGGGTGTATGTTCCAGCTGTAGATCAAAGGAAGCAAGCAAGCATTGGCAATTTAGTGTGCAGGCAGTGGTCTTTTCAGTGTGAATTGACTTTTTGTCTGTCCTTGGCTTGTGGTAGCAGCAGAGCGCCCTGCACAGCACGTTGCTCTGTTCTGTGGGTCAGCAGGCAGCAGTAGGTGGATGTTCCTAGCCCCAACAGCTAGCATGGCTTATATTGCTCGTAGAGAGACCGTGTGGCCTTGCAGGCTTGGAGCTGGACTGAATCACAGCAGACTGAGTCTTGATCATTCCCTCCTTTGCTGGTCTGTTAATGCAGACATCCTGGTGAGTCAGATGAAGGCAAGCTGTTGTAGTGTTTCTGTGCTATAGCACTGTATAGCAGATCATATAGACATACCCAGCCTACTCAGGTTACCAAGCTTTATACCATAGAGCTGTGGTAGCGTGAGAGTTCTGCTGAGTTCCTGAACAGCAGTTGCATGCCATGCTCAATTCTGTAGCTACATTTGTATCAATAGGAGAATAAGTTTGTTCTAGTCAGTAATTGCATGCAATGGTGACATGTTGTAAACAGAGGCCAGTGTATTGTGTTTTAGACAGAGATATGCACCTAAATTGCATACTCATAGTGTAGCAGCTTTATTTGTTAATGCATGTAAAGTCTGAAGTCTGTCTTAAAATCTTTTTGTGCAGGTTTATTGGTTTGAATGTGACTGCACAAAGAATAGTTCAGAATAGTTGTTGGACCAGGATAAGTGCTGGATAATGGAAACCTTTACAAACAAAAACAAATTTGTCTTTCTCAGTGCTGATGGTAGAGCAAAATTATGGGATGTGAGGAGAGCATCTGGATGTCTTACTACACTTGATCAGCACAATGGAGAGAAGTGCAAAACATCTTCTGAAGGAGGTAATATGGAATATAATGGTGATAAGCTAAATGTGAATAGATTCATTCTTTAATTTTGTAAATGAATTGTGAAGTGGGAGAGGCAAAGACAGTAGTGATAATACAAGTGACCATGTCCTGCATAACATAAACCACTGAATTTTATTTAGTTCCCTCTGTTATAGACCCAGTGATTGTGATTAGGTGTCTTGTTTAGAAAAATCTCCCTGATAACCATGTACTGTGTCTGCTTTAAATGTTAGTTTCCTCTAGAATTTGGAATTGTACCATCCAGTTTTTATGGGGAAGAATTCTTTCCTGTTTCTCATAATGAAAAATCACTATATTACGTGTTAGCTGTCATAATAGTTATTGCATTCTTCTAAAACAAAGATAAAACAACAACAAAATCTGGAACAAAGGTCTATAACTTGGGCAGGCCAAAAAAGCTCTTGCAGGGTAGTTGCTTTGAGATAGAAATGCACACTATTTAGAAATAAATTGCATACATGTACTCCTGAATTTGCTGAAATTAATACAGCTTTAGCACACATTCTCCATCCCTTAACTATACAGGTTGTCTGTTTCTTCTTTTTTTGTTCTTTTCTCTTTAACTGGAAAGCTTAAAATAGAAAATTCTGCCTTGATGATGCATCTGTAAAATGGCTTTCAGAGAGATATAAAAATATTGAAATTCAAGAAATGGCTGCCACGAAAGCTAAGACTGTTGTAAAATTTTTTTTTAATCTCATTTTGTTCGTAAAAGGTAAACAGTGAGCTTATATGCAACTCCTGGAATAATTAGTGTAGTTGTATTATATAATATAATGATATCTGCTTATTTGAATGATGCATTATCTTGTTCAAACACAAATACTTTCTTTTCATGTTCTTATTTTTCTATCTCTAGGATCAAATTTATGATAATTTAGTGCCAGTCAAAAGATATAGGATTCTGTATATAGAAATAGATCTGACCTAAAGGAAGTGTAGCTAATTTGTTTATCAAATGTTGCAAAATAGCTAAAGCTTCTTTACTTGAAAGCTACGTATTATGTACTGCAGTACAATATGGAGATATCTCATCATCTCAATTAATTGTGGGCACCATAATCAGTTTAGGCATGGTAGCACTAAGTTCTCTTTTGGCTACCTTATTCTAATTAAGAAAATGCATGATTGCAGGGTGAACCCAACTGAATCCCTTTATAGTATGTAACGAGCAATATTGGCCAAGTCAACTGTATATGCAAGCTATTTATGGCTGTATATTTTTAAATAAAGTAATCCATGGAGGTAGTCATGTTTTTTGAATCCAAAAGTTAAGTTATTTATACACTATATAAATGTATATACAGAATAGTAGTTACCTAGATATCTGAAACACCATCTTTTTCTTTTTTTAATTCTTCTTTTTTTTTTTTTAATTATTATTTTCTGGCAGTAAACACTACCCACAATGGGCGAGTGAATGGTTTATGCTACACACACGATGGACTTCATCTGTTGACCGTTGGTACAGATGATCGGATGAGACTCTGGAACAGCTCCACCGGAGAGAACACACTAGTAAGTTTTCAGGAATCCTTGGTTATGTTTTTATTTGCACTTAGTTTTCAACTATTGCCACTAGTTTGTGCATCCCTGGATATTCATTTATTTTCTTTAAGGATATTGCTGCTTTATCTCACTTGGTTAAGGATTTTTCAGGCCTTTTTTGTTCAGGATTTTTTCCTTATTTTTGCTTGTTCAAAAAGAAAACCCATCATGAAATATTCTAAAAATAGAACATGGGATGAGATCTCTTATTTAGTGCCCTTTTACTTCCTGCTGATCAGTTTCAGAACATATCAAAAAGTTTCCCCTATAGACCTTTAAATGAAAGGTCTTTTCTATCCTCTTACTATTTATATTCGCTAGCTCCTTCTCAGCACTTCATAAACAGACATCTTTGTGTCTTCGAATCCCTATCACCAAAGTAGATAATAGAGTTTGTTCACACTCCTACTACCAGCTGGATCAATGTCTTTTGTTTTGCTGTGCCTGTTAGTTCCCTGACTTGTCTCACAGGCTCTTGCACCATTATCTTAGTTGGAATTGAATAGCTTGATCCCGTCTTGCTAGTTTAGGTCCTGAATTGTACAGTCCAGAGTACTGTATTTTCATCCACCACACAGATACATTGCTTAAAACAATTTTAAGTTTTTGACAGTCAAATATATGCATGTGCAGGTAATAGAGGTCCACTCCCATAGTCAGTCCTTCTTATCATCTTCATAGAAAATCTCCTCCTCTGCACTTGTAGCGCTTTCCCCTTTTCTCTCGCTGACCCCACAAACACAGAAAGGAACCTGCACAAACAACGGGATTGTGTTAAATCCTCCACTTTGAGGGAGAGAAATACATAGTTCACAAAAAGAGCTTTATCTGCTTTCCTGCCTCACTTTGGCTACCCTGAATTCCCAGTCACCATCCAACTTCCTACAACTACTTTCCCTACCCAAATAATACACTATCTTTACCTTTTCTTTCTTTCTTTTTTTTTATTCCTGTTTAGAGTGGGAGTCATTTCAAAGAACTAGAAGTTGTAATGTCTGTCTAGCTTTTCTCAGCAGAAAGAGAACTGTAAAACAACAGGCATCTGAGTACTTTTCTGTGAAGTATCTTTGAGTGTGTGATACATGTGTGATGTTTGGCTTGTTCTTTTATGGGGTGGAGAATATACAGCAGACAACTCGCAGCTCTCCTGTAGGAGACAACTGGAGATGTGCTCCCTTGTTGTGAACGTGTTTTGTATGTTGGAATTGTAATACTTGGTTTGTATAGTGATAAGATACACTGTTCACGTGAATACACTTCTGACTTCTTATGGAGGACCTGACTAGACTGATATATTCACTGGAAGCATTCCCTAGCGTGTTGGGAGTTTTTCCAATTTTCAACTTCCGTGAGCTTTCCGTCTAGGTAGGACTTGTCAAGACCTTGAAATATATCAGCAACAGTGATAAGCTGTACTTTTTATTTGCAAGGCTTCCCACGCAACTCACAAGCCAAGGTCCTGCTTAGCTGTGTAGCCTCTTATCTCACAGTTCTACTTGCAGGAAACAATATTGAATTTCTCAGCAGCAATGAACTCCAAGATTTAGCGGAAGACAGACATTTCAATGTATTTAACGTGTCACTCCTGACCGGTGCATAAGAAATAACTTAGGAAGCTATAGCAATGCTCTATTTTCTTTTAAATCCCTTTGTTGTTCCCACCATAATTCCGCTTACCCTTCAGTCTTTTTCATCTGTTGTTCTTCTGCCGCTCCTTGCAAACTCAGGAGGGAGAGGCACAGAATTGTTGTCTGCATTGCTGGTGCTCTTCCTGCTTCTAAGAGCAAGGCATGAGATGCTGAGAAGCCCCTGAGGGCCTTTTCTGGTGCTGGCTGAACTGGTGCTGCTCTTTGCCATCTAAATAGTGTATATTCTTCAGAAATACAACCTTCTGCAATACTGATCAGCTCGCATAAAGGGCACTTTAAAGAGTAAGAAGCAAGTTCTCTCCAGTCCATGGAGTTAGCAAGTCTTAGAGTGAAGTGGTTGAGTTGTTGGTACTTTATTTTTGAGATGAATGCACATAATAAAACTGGGCTGAGACAACGATCTCACTTTTTGCTTACCACTGAAGTGGTTAATAAGACAGTGTGATTAGGCCTGCACCCATTGCCACCTCCAAGAAACACTGTTCCCTCGTTGCTTTTCATAGTTTAGCCTAATGGGAAATAACTTTTTATCTACTGCTATCTGAATACTGGTATTTGCAAATTATGTATAAACTAGCTTGTGTGTGTATGCTTGTGTGTGTAAAATATTTTAAAGGAGAAACTGGGAAAAAGTAAACGCTGTACCTTAAAATAAAGGGGGCTCTTTAGAGATTTAGGTTTAATATTTTCAGTTGCTGGAGCTTTCAGAAAACGTAAGCTTTGTCTTACTAAAAACTGTATGTATACTATTGTGCATATCTGGTTCTTCTAATATTTTCAGTATTTGGGAGAAAATGGCTATGTGGGACCATCTAGGAAAATATTTAAGCGGGAGTTCCTGAACTAATTTCAGTAGTAGCTGTGGTTCATCAAAGTAGATCTGGCATGAAAGGTCAATGCAGATTCCATCTTTAAGTGTGGAGCTGCTGCAGATAGAGGCATGTCTTCCCTCTTCCCCTCCCCTGTTTCTCAGAGTTTATAATAAAGATAATGAGTGTTAATAAACAGAAAAAATCATTGTCTCAATGAACATCTCTACTTGGCAATCCCAAGAGTTATGTTAAAAGGTGAAGCCTAACATGAATCTTATTGGATATTAATGTAAAAATGTAAATGTCCTTTTTAAGTAAAGTTACTATGTATAATTTTAGTTAATAACTAACCGCTTAATCTTTCAATTTACAGGTGAACTATGGGAAAGTCTGTAATGAAAGTAGAAAAGGACTCAAATTCACCATCTCCTGGGGCTGCAACCCAGAGTTTGCTTTTGTACCCTATAAGAGCACCATTGCTGTTTACACAATTTTCTCAGGAGAACTCATAACTAGGCTTAGAGGGCACTATAGTACTGTTGACTGCTGTGTGTTTCAACCTCATTTTCAGGTGAGTGAAATAATTGGGAATTCCTAGAAATGTGTGTGTCTCATCTCTGCTTTGTCTTTTGAAATGCTTGGGAAAGGGAGCAGTCCTGCAGTGTCAGCATCAGCGTTATACCATCTGCCAGAAATATCTCCCTGTTGTTATCACTCGTGTGTGCACATGACTTGAGCGTGTTCACAAGGACTCCTTCAGAATAGTCAAAGGCTTGCGGGCACCTTCACTTCGTTTGTTATCCACTGTGATTCCTGAGCTTCTTTCAGAGCCACCCTTACTCCTGTTGGATTTTGCACTCTCCCTAGGCTCACTTCCCTTTTTCTTTAAACAACCTTGCATTTGTTAGTATAAAATTTTCTTCTTTGGGCTTTAGGCTACTGTATTGCAAGTATGTCAACAGCAAACATATTGCTAGTATTAACCTTATTGGTTTACGTTCACACGTGGATTTCCAAACAGGTGGTTCTGTCTTGAGATGATTAAACAATTTGATCAGTCTTCATACAAAAAACACTGATACTCAGTTAAAAGATATATTTTTTTGAGAATGTAGATGTCTGTAAAATTTCTCTCTTTTTACGTTTGCAAGCAGTATTAAAATTTGGTATATATTTATAGCTATGCAATTATATTTTAAGATAAACTTGTTTTAAATACGATCTCTTTTTGACAGAGCCTGCTTTACTGTAAATTATGTTGGATATTTTCCTAAAATATTAATTGAAGAACTCCATTCAAAATCTTCAGAATCTTTTTAATCACCTTTTCTATCTATCGCCTTTCTTTAGTCCCTTCTTTCTATTTTTCTGCCTAGGATTAAAGAAATGCCAGGCAGCCCAGTAGTATCTGTATCATCCCACCTTTTTTTTTCTTGTTCTCCTGAATGGTACATTAGCTCACTTTCGGTTCTATTTATTCCAGTATGTTTTGTATATATTTAACTTGAGCAGGTCACAAGTTTCCTCAGTCATCTCTTCTAAGATGCTGATGCAAGTTATTTCTCTGCTGGGGAAATCAATAGCTGCAGAGATGCAGCCTTTTTAGCACCTTTCCCACTTAGCACATTGCCTTCACACGAAACAAGATCTACATCTGACTGCTCTACATAGTTTTTAACATTTCCATCTAGTTGTAGTCTCTATCATTTTTATTTTTTCTCCATATTAATACTCTTCTAGGCTATTTTGCTTCCTCTAAAGCTGCTGAGTGATTTTCCTACTGCACTCCCAAATCTGGCCTTTATTATTTATTTTTCAGTTCAAAATCTGAGTTTAAATTTATTCCTCCCAGTTATTGTTTTCCTTCTATTACCCATACTTTATTCACTGTTTTTGTTTCATCTCATGATTGAAACAGATTCTGAAACCTTGTGTACCAATTTTGTATTTGAGGTGGGAAGTGTTATCTCTTCCCTCAGAAGTTTTATTGTAGCTACAATCCCTGGCACCCAGCCAACTACCTGTTTGCAAGCGAGTGATTTTCGTCGTCTCTCTCTTGTTAATAGGTTCAAATTAGTTACCATTCTTAAGTGACTTATCTTTGGAGTTGCCCTGTGTCACTACAGGGTAGTGTGAGTTATATGTGCATGTATACATCCTTTTGAGATTCTGGGAATAAAGCCATAAAATCCACTATTATTGCTGGCCTAAATTTTTCTTATGTAACTCTCTCCATGAAGCTAATGAGATGTTAAGCTGCTTGAGTAATAAGAGCTGCAGAATATTGCCCATTAAGAAGGGAAGTTAATTTAATAAGAGGTAGAGAATTTCAGGGGTGGTGCAAAAGAGGAGAAGTCAAATCTTCCGAGAGAATTTTACTGTTGAATCCAATACTCATTCAGTATTGTTGAATCCAATATTCAATAATGTTGAATCCAACACAACTAAATACCAATGTGCTGTGTTAACTGTGTAAAATAAGTAAACAAGACCTGTGTTTCCCTTTCAGACACAGAATAAAGTACATAACTTGTAGTTAATTAGTAATGAAGGAAAATTATTAGCAGTACATGAGGAACATTTTTTTATGTCCTTTTATATTCTGTGAATGCCAATGACAACTACAAAGTTATTTGGCAAATAATTATTACCCAAATAATAGTACCCATCTGTAACAATCAGGTGATAGGTTAAAAAAATGACAAAAACTAAAACATAAGTTCAGCCTTTCTTGAAACCTTTCCTCAGAAATTTAAAATGTAGCACTGAATTATTATGCTATACTATCCCATAAATATGCCTGCAGCTTTATGCATTGGCTCTTCTTTTGACTGACTTAGGGTCTGAGTCACTGTTTCAAATTGAAATAATTATAAATATTAGTCAACATGGTCTAGATGAATTGAAGATATTGCAATCCCAGGATCAGAAGAGAGACAAGTAGTAATAAAGACTAATTGAAATATGGTGATTTCCCAATGACATTGTTCACCAGGGTGGGACATACTGCTGGTTCTCAAAGTTCCAGTGATTTGTGTGTGTTGCAAAAGACAGGATGCTGGAGCAGAAGTGATGGCTGATTTGTACCTTGGCATGAATTCGACCTGTCCTATTCTTTTAAGGGAGATAAGTAGGATGTTCAGTCCTGCTTTGTGCACAAATAACTTCATTCCCAGGAGTGGTTACACGGAAGTCATTATAGCAGCTCACTTGACTAAGTTACCCATATAAGTGGATATTTATAGGAACTGGTTAACTTCATAGTTAATTATTAAGTTCCTGTGCCACCTGTCAGAGTAATTCATGCTTTTTGTAGAGTTAAATGCACCTAACACAAAATGGAACTTTCTGCAAAGACAGAACTGTAATTTATTGATCTATATTGAATCAACTTATTAAAATCCTTTTGGAGACATGCACCGAGGTGTTAGGTTAAGTGTAGGAGCCAACAAGCTTCTAGATGACTTTTTTCCACTGTCAGCTTGGATACAGAAGAGAATACCATGCATGCTCCACTCAAGTGATTTGTCCTTATGGTTGTTCTCATCTTAATTGCTGTCAGACATTTTATATAATAAGAAGGAGTCTAATTAAAGATTGAAGACATGTGAAAATACCTCGATACACATGAAAGTGAGTAACGGTTTGGGAAACAGGAGCATTATTAGTGCAAAATTTACTGCAAAGGTGGTGCAGTATTTCTGAACAGCAGAATTTGTTCAGTTGAGAGGCAGAGAAACCTGTATTTCCTCTAAGAAAAAGCAAAGAAATTTAAGCCATGATTGATGGATGGCTGTTTGGTGCAGACACCATTTACTTGCACGTGTTTGGAGGGTACCCAGCACATTGGGATTCCACTCTTAGTCATTAGCATAATAAATAAGGTTATTAAATAATAAATCAGTCTTTCTGATCTCTGCCTTCCTGACAGATGATGACTTCAAATTGTTCCTTGTTTGTTCTTTTCCTTGCCTGTGCCTACTTACACAACGTTTACTCCTTTGCCTCATATTTATGCATTCTTCTAACCTGTGTCATATTGCATATTTTGTGTAGATTCATATTTTTAATTTTAATAGAAAAAAATTATGTTTTTTTGAATATATTACAAATTAGAAGTTACGTATGTGTCCTTATTTACCAAAAAAAAAAAAAATTTCATACAATTTATTTGCCAGCATTACTTCTATTTCAATATTCATTAAGTTTGTAAAGCTGACCTTTTTTTTGTTTGCTTTTTTTAAAGGAGCTTTATAGTGGTAGCAAAGACTGCAATATCCTTGCTTGGATACCTGCCCTTCGAGAGCCAATTCCTGATGACACTTCTGAGAAGGTAACTAATAGTTTATCCGGTTGAAATGCACTCTTTGTGGGTGCTATGTATGCAATAAAAGCATTATATATGAAGTGGATTTTCATCTTCAAAATTGGTAACAATGCTGATTCACTGGAAAAATCTCTTGTACACTTGCAGTTTCTCTTCCGGTTGAAGTAGTGTTTGTTGTTTGACTGCCAGTCTTTCAACTTCCAGTTTAGCTTCCTTAAATTCTGCTTTCTGTAGTTTATACTCATTTGGAAGTGAAAAATGTTTAAGAAAAACTGCATTTTAAATTTGTTTAGGAATATAATTGTATACTAAACCATAAAATTAAGCATGCTGCAATTCATATCCAATCCAATTCATATCCAAATACTTTTGAAACAGAAATATAATAAAGATCATAGACTTTGAGAGAAAACATGCAGACTGTTCCCAGAACAGATCATAGTAGCACTGTTTTTCATAGGAGAACATGTTTTTCTTCTCACTATTAGAACTGGTCAATATAAATTTAAAAAACATTAGGAAAGGGGGAAAATAAAGTTTTAAAGGGACTGAAGCCCTTCTCAAAATAGAGTACAGCAGTTTTTACAACTGGTTTTTACAACAGGAGATACTAATATTTTGAATCATATCATACAAAAAATGCATTTTCTAACATTTCAGCAGTGTTCTGTTTTAAAAAGATGGTATGAAAACACTTGTTGCTCTATTTTGAAACATTGTTTACAAAAAACTACACTTAAAGAAAAAAGCAGTTTCAAAGTTTACGTAATATGAAATGAAGTCGAAGTGTGTTCCAGTGACCTGAAATGAGTGTTTTTGTTCTGTTAAGCTACGATTTTTGAGCTTTCTCTTTTTTTCAGTTTAAGCAGATTTTTTTTTTTTAAATTATGGTTTTAGTCTGGGGCTGGAGGGAGGGAAGCTGCCTGCTCTGATGATGGTTGCCCCTCTAGGTTTGCCCTTGTGGTGCCTGAGCCGTATATGCCGCTGCTTTGCCAACTGTTACCCTCCTGCTGCTGATGACAAATGTTGTCGTATTTTACATTCAGACATTTATTAGAGCTTCCAGTTATGTTCCAGGTGTCTTAGTCAAAATTGGATTTAAATGAAATACTGTGTCTTTTCACAGTTTGCCCTTTTTTCTTTTCTAATGGAAAAAATGTCAAAGAATAGGTTATAAAAAGCTTGTATCTTTCAGATGCAAACCAGTTTGTTTGCAGAGAGTAGTTTAAGAAATACCTTAAGTATTGCATTTATTTACTTTTCATGCTTTTAATTACTTAGAGTACTATTAAAGCAAACCTCAGAGTGACTTTATTTTGTTTTTTTTTCCAGTCTCTTTCTCAACAGCAGTTAAATCCAGCATATGAGGATGCATGGAGCAGCAGTGAGGATGAAGGCTGAATTTCCCTGGTGTACTGATATAAAATTGACATTCAGGCAGCTACGTTCAAGGACTTTATCTACAGAATCGGATATTGTCAGGCTTATTGTGACTGGATTCCTTGTACAGTTGTATTAAAGCCAGGTCTTTCAAAATAACCTTCCACCTTTTTTCCCTGGCATCATCCTCACATTTATTGCTTTATATAAGGGATTACTTTTTCATATCTACTGACTTTTATACTTAACCCTTACACATTGGTGTGCTTTATTCAGTGTTGAACAGCAGATGAAAGAAAACTAAAGGCCCTTGTGACTAGTTAATAGTACATTGTTTCTGGCATCACTAATACATAGGGAGATAATCCCTTCATTTCTGAGACACCTGATACAGAGGATTTTGCCTTAAGGAGGGCTTGCTCAGGGATACTTCCAGTTTATTTTCTGCAATGTCTAGATGTAGCGGACTGAGACCTTGTATGAGTGTCAGTGTGCTGTGGGAACCTAAATGGGTTTATGTGCTTGTTGTTTTGTGTTTTATTAGTCTAGCCTGAGTTTCTCCATGGATGAGATATTCAGTTCAGGAAGGGACAGATTAACTATCCAAGTATTTATATGGAATCCCTCATCAACTTGTATCTGAATCTGTCCCAGAAAGTTAAAAATAGGAGCTAGCTTGATTAGGTTTTTGTTAACTCTTGTTAAAGTGACTTTAAGGTTAATCCTGTATGTATGAATCTCATATGTGCTTCTCTAGCCAGGATGGAGAGTTCATAGACAGAAATGTGCTTGAGGTACAATGCAAGACAATGAGTGAATCAAGTTTTATAGACTGTAGTCCTTGAAAACTCTGCTTTCATCTGAATTAGTGATCTGAATGTCCACGGTGTTTTGGTCAGGAGGAGTTCTGGGGGTTCATTGCCTAATCTCAGTCAGTGTTTGTGCCTCAGCAGCCATGTGCTGAGAGCTAAATCAGTTCATGTTGAACTGAGATGCACAACTTAAGCAGCGGGGGGAAAATGGGAGAAGGGAAAGGGAGCACTTCAAACAGTAATACACAGTTCCTGGAAGTGAGGTAAAACTATAAATAAATGAAAGATAGTAATTTAATATTTATATTATGTATAGATATGCTGAGTGTGCGTTTCTGAATTAATTCTCTGTGCTTTTGTATTTAGTATCTATACAAAATATAGACTGTCACTTTCTGTATCAGTTTAGATCCTAGTGGTGTCCACAGGAATCAGACATGGACAGGAGGGTATATCAAGGTAACATTTTTGTTAGGCAAGTTTCATATATAGCTTGTATGTCCAAGGAGAGACCAAAAATTTTACATGTGCTATTAAATGGATTGTTGCAGGGTAAAAGACTTGCAGAAGTTTCAGCTGAAGATAGTTTAAGGAACAGCCTGACTCTGACCTTATGGTAATGGAGGGGGGGGAAGGGGGAACAAACAAACTGAAAAAAACCCACCTTTCTACCTTTTAAGTGATAATATTTGTTGCAATGGTTATTTGGTTGGCTTTTTTTTTTTTTTTATCTAAAACAGGAAAAATGGGGAAAAACTTGAAGGAAGGAAGTAGGTTTTGATTTTGTCTTTCAAAAGACATCTGTTCTGAGGGATGACTTGTTTGCATATTACAGTCTATATTTTGAACATGCTTAACAACCTTGCATGTATTAGGTATTTGAATTTCTAAAATATTGCTCTGTAAATCCTGTGAGCAAATTATCAAAGAATGAATGCATTATTTTCCAAATAGTTTTCAAGGATCAGTTTCCCATCTGTAGTATGATTGTAAATGGTCTTGCTACAGGCAAGAGGTTTATGGTACTTTAGAGTATGGCCCTTAGAGGGGGAAAAAAGGCTTGTTAGGCTTAAATGGAATTGCCTGTGTTGCAATTTGTGCTCAGTACCTCATGTTTTTCCACTGGTTACCAATGGGAAGAGTCTGTTGTCTTTACTCCACCCCATCACCCCATCCATCCATCCATCCCACAATAAGACACCTCCCCTCCAGGTTGCTTTTCTGCAGGCTCAACAAGCTCAGCTCACTCAGCCTCTTCTTGTACGTCAGATCCTCCCAGTCCTTAAGCATCTTGGTGACTCTTCACTGAACCCACTCTAATATCTCCTTGTCCCTCTTGTGCTAGGGAGCCCAGAGCTTGCCACAACCCCACAGAGGTCACACATGGGCTGAACAAGGGGGAAGGATTGCCTGCCATGACATGCTGGTAGCACTTCATGCAATCTAGATTCCTGGCCTTTGCTGCAAGGGTTTGTTGCTGGTTCCTGGTCACCTTGGTGTCCATCAGGGTCCCCAGGCCCTTCTCTGCAAAGCTGCTTTGCAGCTGGTGGACCCCCAACTTCTACTGGTATGTGGGGTTGATCTCCTGCTTGCACAGGACTTTACATTTTCCTTTGCTGAACTTCCTAGGATGATGAACTGCCTACCTGTTGAGGCCTCTCTGCATAGCAGGTGTCTGATTGTCAGCTGGTGTGTCAAGCACTTTTTTATCATCTGCAAACTTGCAGAGAGTGCACTCTGTTCCATGATCCAGGCCCTTAATGAAGATGTCAAACAGCACTGGCCGCAGTACTGATCCCCGGGGTACTCCACTAATGACTGGCCCCAGCTGGGCTGCTTGCTGCTCATCACAAGCATTTGAGTCCAGCCAATTTTGAGTTCAGCCTGCTTGATCTGTCCATCTACTTCCTTAATCTCTGCTTGTCAGTTGGTCAGGGAAGATATTATGGGAGACAGTGTTGAAAGCCTCACTAAAGTAGAGATAAGCAACATCCACTGCCCTCCTTTTATCTACCAAGCCAGTCATTTCATCATGGAAAGTTGTCAGGTTGGTCAGTCATAATTTTCCATTTTTAAATCTATGCTGACTACTCCCAATCGCCACCTTATCCATAATATGTTTGGAAATTATTTCCAGGATCATTTGAGGCTAACTAGCCTGTTGTTGCCCAGGTCCTCTTTCTTGTTATTCTTGAAGGCAGGAGTGATGCCTCCTTCCAGTCCTCAGGAATCTCCCCAGCTGCTATGGCCTTTCAAAAGTGATCGAGAGTGGCCCCACAAAGACATCAGCAAGTTCCTTCAGCACTTATGGGTGTGTCACATCCCGTGGAGCTGTGTATATAGCCAGTTTGTTTAAGTGTTCCCTAAACTGATCTTCCTGAATCAAGAGCAAATCTTCTTTCCCCCAGACTTCCCTCTCATCATCACACAGGGAGTCGGGCTTGCTGAGGGAAAGTCCTACAAGACCAAGGCAAAGAATCACTGAGAACCTTGACTCTTTCCATGTCCCTTTTTCACCAGTTCCTCTGCTCCATTCAGCAGGAGGCTCACACTTTCCCTATTCTTTTCCTGCTAATGTACCCTGTTACCATTTGCATCCCTTTGCGGATTCAGCGGGAGATGGGCTTTGGCTTTCCTAACTCCATCTCTGCACACTGTTTTTCTATATACTTCCTGGGTTGCTTGTCCCTGCTTCCACTTTCTGTATGTTCCTTTCCGCCTCTGACTTGTGTCAGGAGCTCCTTGCTCATCCATGCTGGCTTCCTGTCACGTACACTTGGCTGCCTGCGTAGGGGGTGGACCAGCTCTCCTAGATCCCATGGACCATCTCACATGGAGTTCTAACAAGCACATCTAGGGACAGGAATCTATTTAAAAACGTGGAAATTTTCCTCTGTACTTTTATGAGGATGATTTTTATACTGTTGTTGTGTAATTTTTTGCACCATATCAGTTTTATGTAAATAGCCCATAAATGCAGTATAGGCTGTAACTGACAAAGAGGAGAATGGGGGTATTATTTGCCCAAATAGTTACCTACTCATGCACCTGCCAATTTAGTTTCTAAATCTGTCTCAAACAGTTACAAATAGTAATAGCCTTGAGGCTTTATTGTTCATGGTAACAGTTAATATCTTCTAAATCCGAATCTTTCCCAACTCCATCCTGGTATCAACCGATGATGGTGTCATTATTCCTATTGTCAGTTGTCCTTTGCTGCATGGAAGGAGATGAGTGGGTTTTTCTTGTTTTTTTGGGGGGAGGCAGGGGAAAGAGGAATACAAGCCCATTTTACAATCCAGCATCTGAAAACCTTCCATGCAGTGGCAGTAACTGATACATGATGTTTAGTTTCCAGGATGTTGAAATTCTTGGTACTAGCCCACATTCAGTTTATGTGAAAATTCTGCTTAGTATAATTGTGTATATACTATATTTTCTTTCAGTATTAAATGTTTTCTGTAGAATAGTAAATTTGTTATTTAAGTTCTCTGGATAAAGGAAAGTTTAAAAAAAAAATCTATTGTATTCTTGTGGTGACTGTATTCAAAAGGTGAAGCATGTGTATTTTCTGAATGAAAAGGAGCATGAAGATACATGTTAATTTTGACAGAGAAGAACCAAACTAAGGAAAGATTGGTGGCTGCATATGCTTGTCTTGCTTATATGTAAGTCAAAAATGATAATTACTTTTGAGTCTTCACCTTCTACAACTTTTCTCTTTTATTCTTATAGCACATGTGTAGGATAGTTGCATAGCTAGAAGTGCAGCAAATGGAGTAATTACTGAGTTAAGGGCGTTTGCTCTTCTTGTGTGTCTGAAACAAAAAAAAGATTTGAAAATCCAGTAAAGTGTCAGATGGAGTATTGTGTTCATGTTGGGGAAAAAAGTCATTCATTTGGGAGGCAGCTAACAGATAGCTGGATGCTAAATTCCATTAAAATAGTAGGAAAGGGTTTAAAGGGTTTATTTAAACTGAACATGACAGCAGTCTATTTTGATAGCAGGTACTGGGATTTGGTATTTGTACTCCAGGTTAGAATATGTAGGAAAGTCTTTCATCCTTTCAGGCCATTCCAGCAATTAGAAGAATCAGAAGACTTGCTTTGCCTGCCAGGGAAGTTGAGAAGATTTTTTTCATCTTGATGCAGAAGGTACCAATAACCAAAGTATTTAGTGCTTCTTACAAGAGATCAAAGAAATTTCCTTCTAACCTAAGGAAAGAATGGAGATGGGAGCCAGTCTGACCCAGCTCCACTGAAAAAAGTCAGGAGAGGCAAAGAAAATTCTCCTTTGGCTTTAGAGAAAGTTGAATTCTCTAGAGACTCAACTCAGACTCCCCCCACTCCTCCAGATGAATTAAATCTAGATTATGATACTTGGAAAAAAAAATGGATAATGAGATATAGAAGTAAAAAGCTGATTTGTTTTATACAAAGACCTGGAAAAAGACATTAGCAGGTTAGTTCCCAAATGAGCAAACTATGAATTTCCCAGCTGAGAGGAAGAAAAGTTCATCACATGGTGCTGGATTTTTATCTCCTTTTGCCATTTTCTCCATCACCAGTATTTTTCCTTGTTACACATATACTAACAAGACTAAAACTGTAGTTGACACTTTTTTCACAATATTTGACTATGTATTAAGGCTTTTTATTATTTTTTATCAAGGAATTTCTAATCTATTTGCCTAGCGTGGTGCTTGCGATTTTAAAACCTCTGTCGCTAAGGCTTAAAAAAAAAATCTCGGATTCAGAAACAAAATCAACTCTTACTTTTATACTTAACCTTGTCTTATAGTCTTTATGCCGTCTTGCACTGCATATAAATATATGTGTGTATGTATGCCCATATAAATTAGAAAACCAGTAATTTGGGGCTCCAGTTGAGAAAGATTCTCAATGTTCATTGCAGGTAAAGGTTTAGGACATGCAGTTAAGCTCTTCTGTGCACATTGGACTAGCATCTGTCACAGTGAACATATAAGCCTAGTATTAGTTGAATACAAATAAAGTTTAAGCTTTGTGGTCAAATTATGGCATATTAGTTAAGCCATAGGAATTGTTCAGCTATGTATATTTGGAGTGCACCACATACGAGCCAAGATGGCTAAGCCCACAATGAAAGGAGCTGAGTATTTG